TATATATATATATATATATATATATATATATATATATATATATATATATATATATATATCATCCGGTAACGGGCGATCTGTGTACCGGTCAACTGACAGACCGATATGTACCGCTCGTACCGGGTGGTATTATTGAAAACTGCATACCTTGGTTCAAATCATGGTGGAAATCTTTCATTTTAACTCTGAATTAGTATCAGAAAATGGCCTAGAACCGATTGGCTCTGTTTTCCACGGAATCGGAATCACGATCAGGTCTCCTTCCAAGTCTAATAAACCGAAAGGTGGAGCTAGCCCACAACATTTAATCATGATTCAGAACTTAATGTTGCAGAGAATCTCTATTACATATGTTTTTTGTTGAATTTGAAGCCTGCGTGTTTGATTATTGGTTGTAACTAAACATTTGATTGTCGCCTTTAAGTTTATTCTGTTACTTTTTATCTGATAGGATGTTGTTCTCATTGCCACAAGAAGGATTCTGAGGCCGCCTAAGAAAGGTTCTGCTGTTGTGCGCCCGCGTAGTCGCACTCTCACTGCCGTTCATGATGCCATCCTGGAAGACGTAGTCTACCCTGCTGAAATTGTTGGGAAGCGCATCAGATATCGCCTCGATGGCTCTAAGATCATAAAGGTATGTTATTCTGTCACCGATTGTTCTTGATTTTTGGTTAATTTGCTTTTCTTGTGTATATAAGTTTTTTTTTAATATTTGAATATTTTTGAGCAATTATGAAGAATCTCATCATTGTAATTTGTAGATTATATAGAATGGTCTCAATTCTAATCCCTTCTCTTAAAATGGATCTTATGACTTGCATCTTTTGAACAACACCATGGATACTCGTGTAACTTGTAGTCAAGTCAGAATTAATTTCTTTTTCCAAGCTTTATTCTTTCTTTCTCAGGGTGTACAAATTCATATGATTGATTTATCAGTTTCTTTGTTGATTCTGCTTTTTTTTACTTTCGGTTTGAATTAAAGTGTTTTATGTAACATGAATAAATCTTTTGGTTTCTATCAGATTTTCTTGGACCCAAAGGAGAGGAACAACACCGAATATAAACTGGAGACCTTCACAGGTGTCTACCGGAAGCTATGTGGGAAGGACGTTGTTTTCGAGTACCCTGTCACCGAGAGTGCATGAAGAAATTTTTATCGGACTACATTTCATCTAAGTCGCTAATTTTATAAATGGAGACTGCTCTCCTTAGAAGCATTTTTTTTATTGGTACGTTTGTTTTGGCACTCTTTGATGTTTGTTAATTTGACATTTCTTTGCACACCAGTGTTAATCGTTTGCGGTGAGCTTTTTTACCATTTTATGCAGCGATCTGTCATGGGAAAATACACAGGATGCTAATTTCAGTTCGAGTTTGGGCTCATGCCATGTAGTTTGTTTCTTGATCGATGACTTGTTTTCATCGCATTTCTTTATTACGAGTGGGTTTTCATATTCGTTGCTTGCAGAACTTAATGCTCATCTCTATGGTTTGCTACGGGCAACAAACTGTAGCTTAATAGGCTTCTGAGCGATCAAATATAAAAAAGTGCAACAACTCGGGAACAAATCTAAGCAGATTTGACGTGTTCAATTGGTAAATGCATAAACGTCTGACTGACTAAACAACACGACCGACCGAGCTCAAAATCAAAAGCATAGACCGTAACAAAAGAAAAAAAAGGCAACAATAAAAAGAAAGTCATAAAAATGGGCATTCGACACCGTACCTTATTCGCTGGCCTCTTTGTGCTACTCCGGAATTCTGCATGTCAAGCTCATCCAGGATAAATGCAAATGAACACTTTTGAGTCTCATCTTTTGAAGTTTCAACATTCGAGTTTCTTTAGAAACAATATCAAGCACCAATGTTCTCAAGATCAGCGGATTTATCCATCCTTTTCAAGATTCCGGCGATAACCTGATGATGGCCCTAGATTCTTAGGAACATTTCATAGTGATGAAAACAAAAGATAACAACAATAATAATAATAATAATTCAAGAAACTAGAAAGCCTAGTCCTCAAAAACAAGGAAAGGTGTTCATGCTCTATTAAATGTGAATTGTGTATTTTACCTTTCCAGGACCCAACTCATAGCTTTTCTTCAACCCTTTGTTTAACAGAGTCTTCAGCGTCAGTTCCCATTGCACAGGAGTCGTCACCTGCACTTGAGAAGAGGAGCCATATGACAAAGCTATTTATGATAATTATAAGTCGGTAGAGCAAATTTACGCAGCGAACATGGAGACCTGTTGTGCCAAAATTTTTTTGATCGTATCAGGATCCGAGTGTGGCTGGGCATCCACATTTGATATAACTGGAATCCTTGGCATTCTGATTTCTGTTGTCGCGAGCGCAGCTTCTAATCTGGAGACAGCCGGTTCCATAAAGTTGGTATGAAAAGCACCAGCAACAGCAAGGCGTACCTGGTGATAAAGAGTGATCATTTTCTTGTGCCAATATAGATCTTGTTTCTCAAAACCAGACTTGCATAGAAACATGTGAAAGATTTAAGCATAACCCTACATATTACACAACCCTTTAAGGTTTGCCATTTAACGTGGCAGAGTAGGCACTGCTGGGTACAATATAATAGGATCTTCAATCGGTATCAGACTTTTCATTGATCTAGGTTGTGTCAGCTTCATATTTATATATTTGAACAGACTGTTACATTAGCAGCAAAATGTATATCTCGGTTATCTCCCAACAAAGAATAGGAAAATGCTTAAAAAAACACACATTGCTACAAAGGCCAGCATCTTAGCACACTATGAAACCTGATATAATTTCTATTCCGACATAATATGCTATGGAGTAGCCCTGACCAAAGTCCCAGAAAAGAAAAAAGATCTAATGCTTGCATGATCAATGAGGAGATAATCTCAAGTAATATCCAAATGTGTAGATGAAGATGCTGAAGTTGGCAAGGGCCGGCTGTAGATTCATTGATAGACTATATGAAGATTATGGAGTGGGATGCTGGAGTGCTTAAAACTAGAATGAAGACAGACTTGTATAACCAAATGACCAAGTAGAATGGTGAAGAAAAATGGTTAAAAGATTAAGAGGAATCGAATGATTAAGAAAAGAATAGGTTTAAAGTTTAAACACAATATTAACATGGATGGAACTTAAATAAACATAAAATCCATGCTGAAGTGCAGCAGAGTGACAACAATCTACGCTTAAAAATCCCAGTAACATATATGTAAAGCAATGTCAGTTGAGAGGTAATCACCACTGATTAAGGCTATAATGTTATCGATATTTGTCCCTCTTATTTGGTCATGTTAATCAGTGATTTAAAAAGACGCTCAGGCGCTCGCCTAGGCGCTCGGGTGAGGCGACGCGAGGCCCGAGCGCCTCGCTAATCTCCCAGGCGGCGCGCTTCAAACAGGCGCCGCCTGGGCGCTTCGGGCGAGCGCCTGGGTTAACCAAGGCGACCGAACTAGGATTTTAGGTCTGGTTCGATCCTAGTTCGATTTATGATGGTTAGTTGGTTCAATCGAACCAACTAAAACTGATATAAGTGACAACCGAACCCTAACCCTCGCCGCTGTCGCTGCTCGCAAACGCTGCCGCTGTCGCCGCTCGCGCCTCCCACTACTTGCCGCTCCCGCTACCGCTTCCTCTTTTCTCAGTCAGAAGGCTCAGAACCCCTTTACACTTCCTTTTAACAGTATACGTATACCGTATACTGTTAATATTATTAAATTTATTTGAAATGATTAATTTTCAATATTGTTAATAGATTAATAATATATTATTTTGATTTTAATACTATTAATTTTTATTTATTTGAAACTTTTTGTTAATGTGACATTGTGATTTTGTATCTTAGATTTTCTTAATTTAATAACATATTTTTATTTAAAATTTTAAATAATTATATTTATTAATTATATTATATATTTTTATATTTTAGCGCCTCGCTTCACTCGGGCGAGCGCCTAGCGCCTCGGGCATTTTTGGACCTTAGCGCCTTTTGACGTCTAACGCTTTTTAAATCACTGATTTTAATTTAAATGTTTGCAATACAAATAGGCTTCTTAGTAAAGTAAGTTTCAGTCTTTTTCTTAGATCTGTTTGACCACAAAATTTCTTTCCTCGAGCATGATCAAAAGCAAAATATAAGCACTTGAAATTCTTAACAACAAAGGTGCCTGAACAGTAACAAGAAGAGATGATTATGACATACAATCATAAATAGCAAAGAAGACTAACCGTCATCCGAGCCTTAAAAGACTTTGCCTTAGCTTCCACTGCTTCAACTCCTTTCACACCACCAGAAACAGCATAATTACCCTGCACTTCAAATTCATCTCTAGTCAAAGAAAAGGATTAAAAGAACACATTAAATAATTACAAGAAGCATTGAGAAAACCATACTGGACATAAAAAGTTTGCGATCTGAACTTTATTTTGGTCATCAACTTCTTCGTTAGCAGCATCACATAACAGCTGCACCTTTTCAGAGTCCAGTCCGATGACACTGACCATAGCACTTTTAGCAGCATCAGCTGCATCCTGTGGAGTTTTATTGAAATAAGTCAAGAGAAGTTAGAGAAATAGCTAGTTCACAAATTCTGGTATTGGCTGCTAACCTGCATTGCTTCTCCTCTTAACTTGACAAGCTTGAGACCATCCTCAAAACTAGTGAATATCATGAAACAAACATGCTTTGATTGAGTGAAAGACGAAAATATCAAAGACAAGCCATCACAACAGAAGATTCTCACTATCTAATGTACCTGAATGCACCAGCAAATGCAAGGGCTGTATATTCTCCCAAGCTCAAGCCACAAGTGACATCTACAGAATTGATTATATCCTGACCCCCATCACGTGCCCGCAATACTTCAACTGCAGCTAGACTGGTAACATATATGGCTGGCTGCAAAAAGTTGAATTTTATAATGATATTATTGAACAAATTCGTTATTTCTAATGACGAGGAAACCAGCTTCAGCATAAAAAAACAATTCAAGAGAACTAGATATATGACTAGACATACATGTAGAGCTGCATAACACTGAGTGAAAAATGTCCTCATAAATGGAAGTGGCATCTAACACCACTCCGAACCTCTAACGATTGTTATACCAAAAATAGGCTTCACTTACATAGATAATCTGCCAATAGTAGAATACTCATACTATATAAAACATCGAGAATTTTTCACATTTTCACAAAAGTAAAGAAATGCTTCCTGGAGAGCACACAGAAAATAAAATTATAGAGAAGCAAGTAATGAATGCCAGCAGAAGAGAAGAAATAACAGCCTGGTTATATACAGCCATTCTGCATTATTGTACCTGGCTTATTACTGTTGAATCAAGCTTTTCTTTTGGCCCATTGGCACAAACATCCAAGAGATCATAACTGAGGCAAAGGGAACAAAAGGATTAAATTTAGAAGATCAATATTACCAATGATAAGCATCGAGGGACATCATGGGCTTTGGGTTTTCTCCTTTTTGATGCCTAAGCTTTGTATTAGGGAAACTAGAGTAAGAATTTCGTACCCAAGTATATCATTTGCTTTCTTAAACAATTCAGCAGCAGCATTCACATTCTGAGCTTCCACCCCCATTCCAACAGTTTGTGCTCCCTGAAACCGAAAAAGAAAAAAAGAAAGAAAAGTCCAATATGCTCAATCCCACATAGAAATCCAGAACATTAGGCACAAAAAAACTCATAAAGTCATTGTTTTCATACTTCAGGTAGTTGCTCTGGACATAAAATAGATAAGTAGTCCATGTGATACATAATTAATATGATTATAACAAAAATGTTTTCCAAGCACGATCATTGTTGGATTTTCATCTAACATGTATATTACATATTGCTCTGGCTATCTAAAAGAAGCTGTCTGAACTTCTGCAAGATGAAACAGCTGTTTACGTAGAGAAAGTTGGCATCAAGAATAGTAATATGTAGCACCACCACTGGTGCATGAAATGTTTGAACATGCTCATGTGGTGAATTTCAGCTTTTCAATGATTGGTGTCTTAATATAGTTTTTGAATGCACTTCAGTAATCATCCTACCACCCCACTGTCTGTTCACATCCAAATGATTGGAACCTGGCAATCCACATGGTAATCAAACACCAATAAGATCAGCAGAATAATATTCATGTGAATTCAACATCTGGTGGTAGTGTACCACACTGACCTACCAACAGTTGAGGTTTCGAAACCTCATTCCACAAATTTTAAAGATGACGACTATCTTACATCTTGATTACTGATGGCAAGGTCCTTAGATTGAATCCCGTCTT